ATTCGATTTCCCAGGTCACCCCGGGCTGACTTTGTGAGAGCAGCGGTGAGCTTCGTGTCCAAGGTCACGAACTTTCCTGCATTTTGGAGCTTTGCCTCGAGTTCGACACGAGAGAGTCCCGTCCCAAACTTCCATGATCCACTCCCATGCTTCGTCGGGCTTGTCAGACGACGATCGAACGAGCTCACGAACCAGATTCTTCCATTGGCGGTAAGTCTCAGGCGTGGGCATGTCCGGGATAGCAATCGTATCGGCTTCTTTAACCCTTGGCTTGCCTTCATCGTCTTTCTTAGACTTCATCTCTCTAAGTAATTCTGCAAGGCCACTCATCAGCGCGTTGGCTTCGCCAGAAGCCGGGAATTTGCCATCGACTCCTCCATCACCGGCGTGAGACAACCGTTCATCAGCAGTTTCACGTGCATCGACGAAGTGATCGTCCTTGCCCTGGGCGTTCTCCACCGCTGCAGGAAGTGGCGCTGTTGCAGGTGCTTTTGATGGATAGAACTCACCGAGTTTCTGAGCGAACCTTGCATCTAGCCTCGCCTTCCAATCGATCTCTATCGGTTGGGGCATGGCCTCACGGCCTGCTGGTTCGGACAACACTGGGGTAGCCGTTCCTGGCAGGTGACGCGGTGCTTCAGCCTCGTGTGCTGGGATCAGTCCATCAAGTTGATCTTGAAGAAGTGCGTTGGTTTCAGATGCCTTCCGCAGTTCTTGTTCAAGATATTCTTTCTTCTCAGTCCACTCGGTCTCCATGATTTGGTGCTGCCTTCGTTCTTCTTCGAGGAGTGCTCTAGCTTTATTGGAAGCATCCTCTACCATCTTGTTGAACATCTTCTCCAGCTCAAACATCTTCTCGATCATTCTCTGCAAATGAAGCTTCTCAGCTTCTGCCTTCTGCTCCGCCATTCTCTTTTGATGCAGGCTGTCTGCGCTAGCAACTTTGGCCTGACTTTCAGCCAGCTACCCTTCTAGCAAGTTGATCCGACCCTGCATGGCCAGGACTTGTTTGTCGCAAACTTCCTTCATCTGATCAATAGCAACTCTGCATTGCGAACCTAAGGTTTGAATAGTAGAGTTCATGATCTCTCGATGCCTTTGTTCCGCTTCAAAACGGACGGCCTCTTCATTTCCCGAAGCAATCTGATGAACATTGTTCTGGATAAACTGGAAGTACGCTGTGACGCATTCAGACCCCATAACGATATCCTCGGGCACGAGGTTACCCCCGGCGACCGGTACGGTTTCGCCAGAGTATGGGATGAGGGCGAGCGCGGCATTCGCACCATCATCTGTAGCCATGGCAGAGGCTACGGCTGATAACCTGTATTTTCAGGCTCAACCACTAAAATACAATCAAATTCCGCTAAGCTGCAACTGCTTACGCTCCTTTTTGTCGCGATGAGCTGCGTGCTTGAGCCAAGAATTGGCATAGTGCGTAAAAGCTTAGCATTAGGTGATGTATTTCAACAGAATCAAAGGTTTATGGGGTCAGAATGAAAGGCTTTGGCCGCTGAAACGTCGAAAAAGCAATTCGCAGGGGAGTTGCAGGGGCTGGAATGGGAGGTTCCGGTGGAACGGGGTCAAAAAGGAAAGGTTTGCAGGGTCACCTTCCAAAGGTGTTGCCCGTGGCACGGGGTGAAAATGAAAGGTGTGCAGGGTCAGAACTCAACGGTGCTACCCGCAACACGATTTCACAGGGGTTGGAGTGGCAGGGGCTAGAATGGGAGGTTTCCAGGTCGAAATGAAAGATTTTTGGCCGCCCGAAAGAGGGAAGTCACAGGGGTGCAAAGATGAAAATTTTGCGGCTTGCCGGGTCAAAAGGAAAAGTATGCCAGCGGCAGGAAGGGGGCTTGATATGCCAGGGTCAAATAAAAAGGTCGGGGTCAAAAAAAGGGAATGGGCTTCAATAAATAGGGTCCCCCAGCTGAAAACACATGAGGCGGAAAGAGGACGGGACGTTTGGCATCGGTATTTGCATGTTCTGTCACATGGTTGCAAGATATTGAAAGGTTTCTTGAAGCAAAGCACACAAGTGCAACATGCTTGCATGGGCCGCGCACTTTTTCATAGCCAAGCATTCCACTACACTGCACAGTCTCCAAGCCCTTTAGCGTCTTCGCTTTCGGCTGCGGCTGCGAGTGCGGGATCGGTGGTCTCGGTCCTCCTTCCTGTCACGATCCTTGTGGTCTTTGTGATCTTTATGATCCCTGTGCTCCTTGTGATCCTTGTGGTCTTTGTCTCTTTCCGCTCGATCACCTCTCTCTTTCCGCTCTTTCTTCCTTCCCTCAGTCCCCCCTGCTTCTTCCGTCTCTCCATCTCCAAGTGGCAAAGGACCTCCAATCCAAAAGCGCCGATCAGAATCGCCCAACCGAAACACGCAAAACTCCCTGGTAAGCTTCTTCTTTGCATCCATGGGCTCAATGGTCTCCATCTTCTTGGTGCTCGCTGAGGTGTAGCGCTTTGGTGGTTTGCCATCCGAATCCTTGAGCTGATGCAATGTCATGCTTTCAATGGTCACCGGGCCGTTCACCGCCTTCAGGAACCATCTGCTCTTCATATAGTAAATGGCTGCATGCTCGGGGCGCACACCCTTGTTTCCATCGTAGACCATGCCATCAACCTCTTGAGATGAACCGAAAGTCACATGGGACATCTCATCGAGTGGCAAAGATCGACTGGTCGCATTGGGATCCTTTGCCTCTTCCATGTCGAAGCAGTACAACATAAAGGAGCCAGGTGGCGGGGCTTCACATCTATCAGGAGGTTTCCACGGAGGTAGCAAATCCTTGAATTGTTTCTTCTCTTCCCCTGGAGGTGCCTCAGCAAATGCATGCAATTGCCAATGCTGCTCGGACTGGGAGCTCCAAGCACACTGCAAACTTCTTTTGTTTACATCGTTTCATGAAATGCCGCGCCTTCTTCTTGAAGGGTGAAGGCCCCGACATAAATGCACATTGTGCCAAAGGGCCGTATGCCATGGCGATCTACAATTCCCGCCTTATTACGTCCCTGCCCCTTCCGGGTGCACCTGCCAAGGGTGGACACCGGTGGACTCCCTGCTCACTCGAGCCAAACACACTTTGGCCAATCGCATCAACCGGAACATCGTCCACTCAACAAGTGCACCAGCCCAGCTTCCACAAAACAACTGGTCACCTCACATCAAAAAACACGTGTGAAGCCGAACGCAACTGACTCGTGTCCTGGCTACTTCATCAAAAGTTCTCGTGTTCCGGCAGCACGGCAAGTAAAAGAGTTGCATATGGCACAAAACATGGTACCAAATCCGCCCGGCATTTGCCACGCCACGCTCTGAATCGTCAGGATTCGAGGCCGTTTCGTAGATTCAGTGGTCAGCTTTGCTGTGGTAGTGATGCGATCATCTGTGCCAACCTGCAATCAAACAAAACACCGTATGCTTGCAACATCGGCTTGCAACCATTGCAGTCTGTGGCGAAGTGTTGGAGACAGTTTGCCCATGGGTCAAGAGACGGATGCCATTGTTGGACCAGCGTTTGACATGCTTTTCAAATGCAATTCAAAATCCTACAACAAATAAGACAAGCAGAATAGTTGTGTGATAGCAGAGATTGAACGGAGTTTAGAGTCTGCCTCTCATGCCGGACCGAGACTTGTGGCCTGGCAGAGACACAAAGGTGAGCTGCGAAATACGACAGTTTGAGAAACAAGTTGAAGAGCCATGGCTCAAGATTGTGAGTGGAATGGTCACAATGCTGCAAATGGGAGGGCGCAAGGCAGTTTGTCGGAAGAACCAAGCAGGATGGCACAGCAAATGGCAAATCTGCAACTGAAGCTGTGATCAGGTGGCATACAGCACCCGAGACCCAGGTCGCAGGCCCCAGCAGGAGAGACTTCACAACTTCCAAGGGATGATCACATCCAAAATGAAAACGGACAAAACCACCATCTGATCCTCACTTGAGCACCGCATCACATGTCACATCAACACGTTATGATATGCATGATCACACTTCACATCATCACATCAAAATTCCCCACAAAATCAACACTTCCATTGGCCTTTCATCTTTTTGGGCACTTTTTTACCTTCCGTCTGCCAAGGATTGCGTTGCATCTGCTCATGAAGGAGGTTGTGGGTGTGGATGCATGCGCTTGGGTGAATGGTAAGAACTGTGGACGAATGATACGTTGGTTTGAATATGTTTGAATGAGCAGGGGCCAGATAGGGAGGAAGGGTTGATGCACGCTCACGGTAAGGTGTGGTGAATTCCTGAATTATTGAGTGGTGCGGCTGCTCTGTGCTCGATGTGGTAACGGTACACTTGCAGAATATATGGCATCTCCGGTCTTCTCTCACCCAGGTAAAATGTCCGATGTTCCTTTCCACACGCAAAACGGATATACAAGTGTAAGTGGACGCGATGCTGGCGGTTGCAACTCACAGCATAGTTACCATTTGTCGAACTTGGTGCATGCGGCTGCACGACCGGACAATGTCTGAAATGAAGCGTGTGGCTGTGCACGCGGTGGCTTGAACAATTAAGCGCAAAGGCACTTCCCAAAGCAATTCCCGCCCAAGAGAACAGGTCAAACAGGCGACAAAAGCTGGTTCCACCAGTTTAGAAAATGAAGCAGGGGCGCACATGTACCAGCATGTCATTGCATAGCAAATGTCCTTTGAACACAGCACGCGCACTCCCTTATCACACACTTACATACAATCTATCGAGCACCCCACAAACTCCACGTTACACTAGACAGAGGACATATGAACGCGATGGTTGTATCGAAGAGCACCACACATCCATCATCTGCAGGAACCTGTAGCAGTCAGCGAAAGCATGCAGAAGGTTCTCCGCTATTTTTTGCTCAGGCTTTTCGGGTCCTTATTCTTGTTGATGCAACCTTTGCAGCAACTTCACCCAAAAAGCATTGTAGTTTGCACTTCGTGCACCATTCCAAAGGCAAATCAACAGGTGAAACTCTGACTTTATCAGTTTTGGCTTCTTCGCTTCTCAGTCTCCTTCCTGGTCCTCTTCAGAGCTGGCAGTGTTGATGTTCAATGCCTGTGCTGCTTGTGGTGAGAGAACCCCAGAATGCGTAGTGTGCTTCACATTTCTGCGGGAGTTTTTCTTCTTGATCCGATTGTCTGCTTCTCGAATGGTTGGCGAGACGTCAGAATCTGCGGCCTTGTCCTCATCTCCTTCGGAGAAGAACATGTTTGATCCAGCAGGCTCCCCGCCATACTTCTCAAAAAGCTTTTGCAGCAGCTCATCAATGCCATTTTGCACTGTTGGGCTTGGCCTGCTCACCTTGCTCATCATCTTGTCCGTCAAGGATCTAATGTGCATGGTAATAGGTCGTGCTGGCGAACCATCTTGGTCAGCTTCTTGAGGTGCTGCCTCCGTTCCATCCTCACCATCTGCCTTTGCCTGATCACGGTTGGTGCGGCGAGTATGGGGGTTGAACAGATCAAGCATCGATTTCAGTGTTCTTAGATTATATAGTGCAATGAGTGCCACAAATGAAGCTTGACAAAAGAAAGCATGCTCAAATCTCTACCCAGTCCTCTTGCTTGTTGACAATAAAGGTATGCTCAAGCAAATCCTTCGCGGAAGAGCGATGTCCTACATCCCGGCATAGAGAGGATTTAATGAAACTGATGAGCTGATCAGAGCAAGGAGCCCGTTCAGCTCTCTCAGTGGGAAAACATAGAGAGGGATGGTCTCTGCTGATGGCATCCTTCATGGCCGCAGAGGTCTGCTCAGCTGGGGAGTAAGGAAACTTTCCGTAGGAGAGCAAAAAGGCAACGGCACCTATTGACCAAATGTCCACCAAGTAGTCATACCCCTTGCTCAGCAACATTTCAGGGGCCATGTAGGGTGCTGTGCCGTACACGCCCTGTAACTTTCCGTTTACCGGCATTGCTGCTGCTAAGCCGAAATCGCAAAGCTTCAAGACATCATGTCCTGGACCTCCCCAAAGAAAGTTGTCCGGCTTGATGTCACGGTGAACGATCTTGGCAGTGTGTGCATGTAGCACACCCAATGCCATCTGCTTGAATATGTTGGACAAATCTGCTTCTGTCAAACCATCGACAGTCATGTCTAGCATTGATCGTTTGCACCTCTCGCATACCATGTAGTACAAGGAGTTGTCTGAAAAGGCCCTGTGGAGTTGAACCACGTGTGAGCATTCAACGCTGCAGATGATCTTCCACAAAGAAATCTCATCTCTTGTGGCTTTGTTCCGAGCACGACTGATTTGCCCAGTGCAAACGCCTGTCTTTTCATCGTAGTGCCTGACATCCACAATCTTCACTGCCAACTCGGCTCCGTTCGCCTTGTCCTTGGCAAGCCTCACCTGACCAAATGTTCCCTGACCAAGCTTCTTCCCAAGCTTGTAGCTCTCATAGAAGTTCACTTCCACAATATCAGTCTCTATTGCTTTACCTCGGCACGAGAAAAAGCGGCTGGTGGAACCTCTTCGTTCGATTTGTGCGAAGAGCGTACGTGAAACCCGCGCAGACCAAATTATTTTTCATGTTCATCATGTTCTGTGTGAACTTGCGCTTTTGGCAGCGGGTGGCCTCCCTCCCAGCGCTAACCACGCCATCTGGCGAGGAAAGAAAGGGAGGGAGCAAGTGGTAAGCAACATGCCCGTATCAATGAGACAAACCGATCGCAATGTTTGCAATGCTGGTGCCTTGAGTGCCTTGGTGCCAGTCATGCCTGTCTGAAGAATTGATGTGAGCTTTGCTTCAGGATCGCGCTGTTGGAAGGTACGTTACATGGCCTTACAGGGTGACACTCTGCGGGGGCTTTCGGCTTAAATCTGCTTCACGTCCGAACTGCAGTGGCGAGTTGAGCCTGTTGAGTTCTCCCTGGCTTGCTGACCGCGCCGTCAGATGCGTTACGGGAAGGAGCAAAGCTTTCACCAACTGTCCCGCCACAAGAAGGCATAATATAACTGCCGACCGGCAGGTTGCATCGCAACAACATGCGGACACGCCTTGTCGTATGCAATGCACGCATACGCACACTAACTCTATATCTAACCACGTGTGTTCATCTATGTTGTGCGAACGTGCGTTATATTAAAGAAATATTTTGAGGATACACTAGTGCCGACATTCCTCATAATTACAAAAGTCGACACTAAACACCGTGCAAGTGACAAGCTCCACATCCCATGGCCCACTTAATTAGCCGCTCCGCCAGGCTCGCCCGAAACTCTGGAGCAATGCTGCGGCATTAACACATTTCAAACCGAGATTGTGTGACCCACCAGATACAGTAATACAAGCGACTAAACATGCTATGATATGCTTCCATCTAGCATTACAGTAGCATAGTCTGCGCGCCCCGGTCTTTTGCACCTGCTTGTGGCATTGTCGCATGTTGTCTCTCATCTGTCCAGGGGTTGGCTAACTGAGGAAACGGAGGCGATAGAATCAAGCCTCAGCCTCCTTGATAGCTGCTACATGGTCAGCAAAGCAAACTCACCCCTTAATTAGTGTAGAAACCAAAAGCCGTTCACATCGTTGAACGAAGTTGATAATCATTTGCGATTCTCTTTCGAGCGGTTCCAACGTTTATGCCTTCATTCAAAACCACAGGCCGCAGGCCATCTCTTCAGCTTGGCGCCTCCAAAACTGATAGCCATCACATCGGTCATGTTTGTCATGGACATGGGAATGGCCCCGCGCTGACTTGTGGCACCGGTGGCAGTGTGTTTTGAAGTGTTTTTCTTCCGGATGGTTGCCTGCTTTGTGCTGCCTTCTTAAGAGGCCACTGCCAGAGTGTTGCTACAAGCCAACCAGCTGAACTTTCGAGGACGAATGATCCGAAGGCTCCTTGCAACAAATGATTACATAGTATGATATAGAGAACACATGAAAGAATAGGAACTGAAAACAAAGCTGCTGCTTTTGGCAACCACAGTCTCTAGATGTGAATGTGCACGTGTTGGAACTCGAACGGAACCGAGTTGCCCGATGACCCCCATTCCAAGGACATTAACTGCTAGCAAAATGACACTGAAAGGGAATGATCCCATACAACATCTTCATATACGAGTAATATCCTCAACCAATCCAAGTACAACACTCACGGCACCCAAATCTTGTATAGGTTCCGGATGCAACGTGACGAAACCGACATCAACAAAGGCCAGTCAGTTGAGTTTGCCACCCGAGAAGTCCTTTCCACGCGAGCCTCTTCTTTGGAGACTTTCTTGTCGACCTTTCTTCTAAGCTAAACTCAAGCTGAGCTCCAAAGAGGTCTACGTAGTTGTGTAGTTATCTCTTTTGTTGGAGGCCATCGCTCTTAGATTGGAGGCGATCTAGTTTTGTAGTGTTACAGCTAGTTACAGCTAGTTATCTTATGTTATCTTCGTTAATGTCCAGTCTGCCGTGTTGCCCTCGCACCTTCTGCGTTGCGCACAGCATCGGTCGAAGGGACCTTGAAGAGGCAATCCGGCCGAAAGGAACGTTGAGCGAAAGATTCGCCCAGGCAGCTTGATCGACTTGGCGACTCTTGATGACTGAACCCTTTGCAAGGACGCTGCTTTCTGGCACAGGCTCTTGCTGAGGCTGGTGAAACAAGCTTGAACACTGCTATATTTCTCAGATGACTTGACATGCATCATGGTGGCTGGATCACTCGTTCACATTGACCACAAAGGATGGCCGGGCATTGGCCCAAAGACTGAGCACCTGAAAAGGAAGGCCGGCAAAATGAAAACTATGGCATATATGGTCATATATGGTTTCCTTGATATCAAAGCGTGAGTTTCAGGTGCAAGAACTGCCCTCACATGACAGCACTGAGCAGGGTGCAACGGTGTAGGCCAAAGTCAACCCTGCAAAACAAGCGACCTGGTACCTGCAGCTGCTCTCTTGGTCATTTGCGAAAACGAATCACGGCACTCGCTAGTCACTGGTCGGCCGGGACGGGAGGTTCTCCGAAGGGTTCAACTGGTTGTGCTCAGCTTGGATCGTGTATGATCATGCTTGGGCACGTGCGAAAGAAACATGTCCCATTGTTCCAAACCATATGCCATATGTTTTGCCACGGAAAATGAGTTGGTGCACTGTACACTACTGTAAATAGTTTTACTTCGGGTGATCCCCACCATGTCTCACGCCATGGTGGGGAACATGCTGCCATGGTGAAGGGTTTTGTGGTTTTGGGGTGGTTGTTAATGTTGGGGAGTTTGCGTCAGGGGGTCGCCAGGGTCTACACCTGGCACTCTGCCCCAAGTGTGGCCCTGTGACCACCTGCCACGCAAAATCCGACACACACGGGTAAACATATTTTTGTTTTGTGTTGTGTTGTGTTGCGTTGTGTCTTCTTTTTCTGGTGGTGGTAGTGGTGGTGGTGGTGGTCGTGTGTGTGTGTGTGTGTCCACACCTGTTTCAAAGGAATGTCAACAAGGCAGGGGGGCAACGGCCAGTCTTCCTACGTTGCCCAACGAAGCTACGGAAGACTGGTGGAAGCATTCAGGGACGCCTGAATGTGTACCTGCTCAATTTTTAATCTGGTCTAGACGCCGTGCGGTTGAAACACATTGTTAAAACACCTTCAAATCCACGAACCCATCACCTTTCCTCTTGCGTTTTTTTCAGTCAAGGTCTAATGCGTGTAAAGTGGGCCTTCATTCTGATCCTAGCTCTTGCGAGCAACCATCTAAGTGTGTATCGCCACAGAGTCCCACTGAGGGCTGTCGCGTGATCCCCACCGAGGGGCGCTGCATGCGCGTAGACACAGATCCTGGGGGATCAATTCCGATTCTTTCGTCTCTGCTTTGGGACTTCACTATGAAATTCCCTTGATTGCCTGTTCTGCACGATACCACTGATACTATCCCGCAGGGCTCACTGAGACTTACGCCGTACGCTCCAGTCAGGATTTGCACTTTCATGCATGTCTAAGTATTCGCCTGTACAGTCTGCACGTCTAAGTAATCACAGGCGGGGCTTAGGACTCAGGCATGTCAAACCACAGACTGTTTTTTCCCGAAAGCATTGCGAAGGGCTCTTCCGGAAAATCCTTTGAACACTGACACTTCGCCACTTACACTTCACCACTTACACTTCGACACTCACACTTACACACACACACACTGGAAGAGCGAAAGCATCCAAGTGCGAAGTATGCCAGTGTCAAAGTATGCAAGTGTAATGATGAGTATGCAAGCATGCAATGACTATGCAAGCATGCAATGAGTAGGCAAGTGTGAGCATGGAAAACTAGCACGGGAGATGTCCTAATGAAAAACATTTCCCCACTTTATAAATTCTCTCTTAAAGGCGGAGGGTGGGACGAACAGCGTCAACCGAAAATGCAACCCTCTGCGGAGATCGTGCGTGTCGAGTGCGCGAAATGCAGGCGAGAGCGCGATTCGTCCGATGTGCGCGCGACCCTCTGCGGAGATCGTGCGTGTCGAGTGCGCGAAATGCAGGCGAGAGCGCGATTCGTCCGGTGTGCGCGCGACCCTCTGCGGAGATCGTGCGTGTCGAGTGCGCGAAATGCAGGTGAGAGCGCGATTCGTCGGTGTGCGCGCGACCCTCTGCGGAAATCGTGCGTGTCGAGTGCGCGAAATGCAGGCGAGGGCGCGATTTGTGAAATTACCGCGCAACCCTCTGCGGAGATCGTGCGTGTCGAGTGCGCGAAATGCAGGCGAGAGCGCGATTTGTGAAATTACCGTGGCAACCCTCTGCGGAGATCGTGTGTGTTGAGTGCGCGAAATGCAGGCGAGAGCGCGATTTGTGAAATGACCGCGCGACCCTCTGCGGAGATCGTGCGTGTCGAGTGCGCGAAATGCAGGCGAGAGTGCGATTCGTTTAGCAGCGGAGCAAGCTGTGGAGCTGGAAGCTGAGAACTGGCGAC